CTCACTTGGTAGCCCAGGCTGGCCTCGAACTCACAGAGATCCGCCTGGCTCTGCCTCCCGAGTGCTGGGATTAAAGGCGTGCGCCACCACCGCCCGGCTACAGAAAAAATTTTAAACAAAAATTATGAAAAAATTTCGTATTAGTGATACAGTTCCCTTCACTGATGATTCCAAAAGACTTCAAAAAGGAAAGGGAAAATTAGAGTAACAGGTTTAATAAAAAACACTACTTATAAAGCTAGACATAGTGGTGTACACCTTTAATCCCAGATCTCTGAGTTCAAGGCTAGCTTGGTCTACAGAATGAGTTCCAGGCCAGCCAGGGCTACAGAGAAACCCTGTCACAAAAAAAAAAAAAAAAAAAAAAAAAACCAAAAAAAAAAAACTACTTATTAAATTTGTGTACTATTGTTTACTGAGGGCTTACAGAATTGTCTAACCTCAATGTTCATATGCATAAGTAACAGAAATCCATAGTCTAGAGTCATACTTTTAAGAATGAGCAACTGACAAAAACAATTACATTTCTTTCATATTATGACTTTTCTAAAATATACATATACTAACTTGCATGGAAATTTCCAATGTTATCTATACTTATAGGACTCCTTTCCAGTGGTTGTCTTCAAGAGCTCACTGTTTCACAAGCGAGTATCATGTGAGCACTCGATGAAATGGGACATTAACCATTAGTTTTCACTTTTGTAAGGGTTCTATACAGTGAACCTCTTCATATGTTTGTGAGGCTATAGACTACTGATGGTTTTCCCACAATGCTTGCATTCATTAAGCTGCTCTGGACTACAGCTTGTGGTTTCCAGATAACTGAGCAACTGAAGGCTTTTACACATTAGCTAATGTAGAGTGTTTTTCTTCTATATGTTTATGTGGCCTCACTAAGTTGCATGACCACTGACCCATCACCTACAGTCACAGGGATTTTTATTAGTCTGAGTTGTTTCCTGGGATTCACATGTAGAGAACTGAAAGGTTTTCCACATTTTTATTTTATTCACAAGGTTTTGCTAAGAGTCTTTTTATATCATCAAAGGATAATGGGACACTGGAGGTTTTATCACATGATTTGCATTTAAAGAATCATTGTCCATTATGGGTTCTTCCATGTATTCTAAAGGAACGAGAACACTTGAATGCTTTCCCACACTGTTGACATTCATAAGGTTTCTCTCCAGTGTGAGTTCTTTCATGGATCCGAAAAGAACGGGAGCAACTGAAGGCCTTGTTACACTGTTGACACTCATAGGGCTTCGCTCCAGTGTGAGTTCTTTCATGTATTCGTACAGAGCTGGAACAGCTGAAGGCCTTACCACACTGTTTACATTCATATGGTTTTTCACCAGTATGTGTTCTTTCATGTATTCGAATGGAACTGGAACAGCTGAAGGCTTTCCCACATTGCTTACATTCATAAGGCTTCTCTCCAGTGTGAGTTCTTTCATGCATTCTAAAAGAACTGGAACAGCTGAAGGCTTTCCCACACTGCTTACATTCATAAGGCTTCTCTCCTGTGTGAATCCTTTCATGCATCCGAAAAGAACTGGAAAAACTAAAGGCCTTACCACATTGTTTACATTCATAGGGTTTCTCTCCAGTATGAATTCGCTCATGCATTCGAAAGGAACTGGAACAACTAAAGGCCTTACCACACTGTTTACACTCATAGGGCTTCTCTCCAGTGTGAGTCCTTTCATGTATTCGAACAGAACTGGAACAGCTGAAGGCTTTCCCACACTGTTTACATTCATGGGGTTTCTCACCAGTGTGAGTTCTTCCATGCATTCGAAAAGAACTAGAACAACTGAAGGCCTTCCCACACTGCTTACATTCATAGGGTTTCTCTCCAGTGTGTGTTCGCTCATGAATTTGAAATGAGCTGGGACAATCGAAGGCTTTCCCACACTCTTGACATTTATAAGGCCCATTTCCAGTGTGCATTATCATATGTCTTCGAAAGCTTGGAAGAGAAATGAATGCTTTCCCACATTCCTTACAATCATAAGGTTTCTCTCCAGTGTGAATTCTTTCATGTTTGCGAAAGGAACTGGGAAAACTAAAGGCTTTGCCACATTTTCTACATTTATATGGTTTTTCTCCAGTGTGAATCCTTTCATGACTTTGAAAAGATGTGGGACAACTGAGAGCTTTTCCACACTGTTGACATTGATAAGGTTTTTCTCCAGTGTGGGTCCTTTCATGGATTTGAAAAGTTTGATAATATCTGAAAGCTTTTTCACATTGTTTACATTTGTAGGGTTTCTCTCCAGAGTGAGTTCTTTCATGGTTTCGAAAGGAACTGGGATGGCTGAAAGTCTTCCCACATTCTTTACAGTGATAGGGTTTTTCACCTGTGTGCATTCTCATGTGTCCTCGATAGGTGGTATGATAAATGAAGGCTTTGCCACATTCCTTACACTCATAGGGTTTCTCTCCAGTGTGCGTTCTTTCATGTATCTGGAAGGAACTGGGCCAACTGAAAGCTTTCCCACATTGTTGACATTTATACGGTTTCTCTCCAGTGTGAGTCCTTTCATGTATTCGAAAGGAACTTCGAAAGTTGAATGTTTTCCCACATTCTTTACATTCATATGACTTTTCTCCGTGTTTGTGATTCTCATACTGTTTGTGTTCGGTATGAGATTTCATATGCCTTTTAAGAGATGAATGACACATGTAAACTTTTCTGCACACACTGCATTCATAGGGTTTTACTCCAGGAAGAGTTTTCTTGTTCTGTTTAAGAACTGGAACCTGGATGAAGGTTTCCCTACATGGACTTTTCCATTCACAGGGTCTCTGTTCTACATGAGCTCTGTGAAGAATGAGAATTATATTATCAGTGGTTTCTTTATTAATGATTTCATAATCAAAGGTTAAGGATCTCATAAACATTGACATACTTTTTCAGTTTTCAGGTGGCATGTATATGAGTCCTTTGAAAGAGTTTAACCATAGCCACTATCAAAACCATGATATCAGGGCTGGAGAGATGGCTCAGCAGTTAAGAGTACTTGTAATTTTAACCCCAAAAAATTCTGTTAAAAAGTTGAAACAGCCTTCCCACAGTCCCTTCATTGTGTTCTCATCCATGGCCCCCTTTGTTTAACAACAGTTACTGTTTGAATGTGACCTGTTTGGCTACAGAACCTCCCAACTATGAAGCAAAAGCTTGGCTGCACTAGACATTGAGTGTGAAATGGAATATGCACACATAGAACCCTGTGCCTTAGAAGAGGAACAGGAAGTGCTCTAGGGAAATGAAAATTTTATCAAAGTACAAATTTCCCAGATTAGGGCCCTATCTCGCCCTAGCGGGGCAGGGCAGAGCTGGGAAAGCTTGGGCTGTATGAGTTATTTGGTCTCTGCTCAACTGGTAGGGTAATGTCCTGAAGCCCAGCTGGACATTCCAAGCTAATGAGGAACTCCAGCAAGGTTTAGCCGTCAGGAGTACCAGTGGGAAGTAGCTTACAGGTTCTTTGCAGGATTCTCCACTTGTTTTGCTGTAGGGAGCTGTAAGGAAGACCCAAATCTATGCCATGGTGAGTGTGGGGGCCACTGTCCCCAGACCAAGAAGAGAAGGTTGGCTGAGCTGTCAAAGCTGCTTGGTCTGGGATGGACCATGAGCCAGACTGAGGTTCTGTTGGTCCCTGTGGTGACCTGGGCAGTGTCCATTGGCCTCAGAATTTGTTGGGAGTGGATTTCCTGGGGAGGGGTAGCTCTGCCATCCTGGCATGGAGGACTATGAGCTTGTAATATCACTGTCCAGTGTGCACACACAGGCTTTGCTTCTGTTGTGCAGTGGGAAGACAGACTGGAAAACTGAAGGTCTGGTTTCTAGAAGTTCTGAATGTCATGATCCACTTTCAGGTATGTCTTACACACGTTACATAGCTGAGAAACTAGTAGAAAGGAGGTGATGGGCATCGTCCTCCAGCAATCCATGATTAGAATGTTTTCATCCTTCTGCTACTGCCAGCCACCATGGTGTGATTCTGTGAGGCCCAGCTCCAGGGCACAAAGGAGTTTCTGAGCTGTGGAGGTATCCCATGTTTGCATGGTGTATGGCAGGGGAATGAGGCAGATGCCACACATCTTGTGACATAACCCATGTGGCAGGAAGCAGACATTAAATTATTTTTCAACACTGTTTTGTGATTGGGCATCGTTGGGGCTGGGTTTGCCTGAAACCACAAGCAACACGGGGGAGGGAGAGAGCTGTAGGCTCTGGAGGAGATCGCCTCCATTTGCAGTGAGCTCTGGAGGAGATCACCTCCATTTGCAGTGAGTTCTGAAGGAGATCACCTCCATTTGCAGAGTGAGCTCTGGAGGAGATCACCTCCATTTGCAGAGTGAGCTCTGGAAGAGATCGCCTCCATTTGCAAAGTGAGCTCTGGAGCTTGGGGCCTATCTGGAGGAAACACCCAGAATTGGAGAGAGTCAGAAAGTTAACAACTGAAGGGGTCACTTTGAGTTAATTTTGTGTGACTTGTGCAACCAGTGTTTATTTAATTTCTGTACACATAGAATCATTGGTAGCTTACAGGTTTTTTTCCTGGCTGAGTTCCTTTTTGTCTTTTGAATAAAAGTTGATACTATTTTTTAAAAAAAGAATGCTTGTTGCTCTTTCAGATGACTGAGATTCTGTTCCCAGCACCCATGTGATAGCTCACAACTGCCTGTAACTCCAGATCTAAGAATCCAGCACCCTCTTCTAACCTCTGCAGGTACTAGACATGCACATGGTACAAATATATGGAAGCAAAACATTCATATACATAAAACAAGTACATCTAAAAAATGTAAGTGATATTCAAAATGTGTAGTTTCTTTTTCGTCTGCTTTAATGTGCAGTTTCTTAATACTGTTTCAAGTGAGTTATTCTTTGAATATTGCACAGCTATGTCATTTTTAAAAGTTCTTGGTGAGAAGCTGGAGAGAGATCTCAGCAGTTAAGAGCACTGGCTGCTCTTACAGAGGACCCAAGTTTAGTTCCCAACACCCACATCAGGTGGCTCATAACCACCTCCAGCTCTCCAGGAAATCTGATGCCCTCTGGCTTCTGTAGGTAGCTGCACTCATGTGTGCATATCCATACAGAGACATATAAATTAAAACAAATAAATCTTAAAAAAAGAGAAAGAAAACAGTGTCATAATCTTGGGGGCTTGAGGGCTAGAGAGATGTCACAGCAGTTAAGGACACTTGCTGTTCTTCCAGAGCTCCTGAGTTTGGTTCCCAGCATCCACCCACAGTGGACAACCCACAACTGCCTCTAACTGGGTGACCCAACATCCTCTTCTGGCCTCCTCAGGCCATGCACAAATGTATACAAACTCAGACACAAATAATTTAAAATAAATACTTAAAATTTTAAATATTTGTGTGCACCTGCTTGCCTGTATGTGTAACATGTAAGTGCAGTGCCCATGGAAGCCAGAAGAGGGCATCATATCTCTTGGAGTTGGATTTACTGGAGGTTGTGAACTACTTGATTTGGGTGCTGAGAATTGAACCCAGGTCCTTCACAAGAGCAAAAAATACCTTTAACCCCTCAGTCATCCCTCCAGCATCAAAAATAATGTTTTTAAAAAGTCTTCATGAGCCGGGCGGTGGTGGCGCACGCCTTTAATCCCAGCACTCGGGAGGCAGAGGCAGGCGAATCTCTGTGAGTTCGAGGCCAGCCTGGGCTACCAAGTGAGTTCCAGGAAAGGCGCAAAGCTACACAGAGAAACCCTGTCTCGAAAAACCAAAAAAAAAAAAAAAAGTCTTCATGAAAGTTTTCTAAAAATAAATAAGCAGGAAATTGGGTTCTTGGTGTTGTTTCCCACAACATACTAAGACTCCTTCATGGGACTACAGTTTCTTTTATGAGTACAACTCACCTTATATTTCTTCCCTGGGTTTCGTACTCATCCCCAATGCTCTGGTCTTCCCAATTTTCCCCTAAGGGGGGGGGGGGGGAACAAGAGAGAAAAAAAACTACAAATGACAGAAAAATTCACAGATTCTAGGTCCGTGGTGAACCATGATACCCTTGCATAGCTGCTTACCTAACTATTCTTTTTTACATGCTGAATACTGAAATCTCATTAATGAGCAAGGAATATTTGCTTTCTAATAATCTAGGTTTAAAGATAATTTTATTCTTACCAATGGAAGCCAAGTTAGTGAAGGTCTCCTGCATCACATCTCTGTACAGTTTCTTCTGAGACGGGTCCAGCAGAGCCCACTCCTCATGGCTGAAGTTCACAGCCACATCCTCGAAAGCCACCGAGTCCTAAAACATCCCATGTATTTAAATGTAAAGAAGGACGTGAGATTGGCACACTCCCTCATAAAGAAGTCCACACGATTCTGTGTTCTCCAGACATACTTCTATAACACGTCCAGCCAAGGCTCGCTGCTCTCCCGCAATCAGACTGCACACCTCCCCTTGAATGGAGTGCCTCTCACCATCCTGAGCAAGGAGAGAGGCTTGAGAAGCTGCCACACCTGGACCTGCCTTTCCTCTGAAGACACCCTTTCTACCATGAGCGGCTACCTGTTGCAATCTCCTCCCAGCGCTCTCTGCACCCTGGACACACTTCTTCCTTCCTTAGAGTTTATATATGTTGTATTGATAAAGCATTTGTGTGTTGGGGGGAACATGAAAAAAAAAAAAAAAAAGACCTGTGTTTGGATCATGAATGAAATAAAGAAGTGACTGCTCCAAGGTATGGTTGAGGGGGGTTTATTTATTTATTTATTTTTGGTTTTTCAAGACAGGGTTTCTCTCTGTAGATTTTGTGCCTGTCCTGGATCTTTCTCTGAAGACCAGGCTGGCCTCTAACTCACAGAGATCTGCCTGGCTCGGCCTCCCAAGTGCGCCGCCACCACCACCACCGCCCGGCCCTAGACTAGGGAGGTTTATTGTAGATATGAGGAAGGGCATAGCTAGAGGCATCTGGAAGGTCGAGACTGAACCTGACCATGGGGGCAGGGGTGGGGGCAGAGCCAGAAAGGAGGAGAAGAGAGAGGGAGCAAAAAGAATACCTGGGAACCCAGAGACCAAGAGGCAAAGGGGCGTAGCCAATGGCTGAGGTTAAATAGGAATCAGAAGCCTGGGAAGGGGCCTAGCCCAATCCCTGGGCTAGAGAGTTTAGGGCAAGAGGCAGGGTATGCCAACCAGAATGACCCTGTAACAGGGAGTTGCTGGGAGACTGGCTGCCAGGGTCCGCTTTGACAGGTAAAATAAGCTTCTCAGTTAGGCATCTGTCCTGAGTCTGACACTTAACAAATCCTAGCACCCACATCAGGCAACTCAGACTGCCTGTAATTCCAGCCCTCTTCTGACATACAAGGGCACACGAACACGCGCACACACGTACACATACACACATACACACACACACACACACACACACACACACACACACACACAGCATACACTCAACACAGACACACACATTAAAAAAGAATCTCTATTTTTTTTTTTTTTTCTTTTTTAGACAAGGTTTTTCTATGTAACCCTGACTGTCCTAGAACTCACTCGGAAGACCAGTTTGGCCACTAAAGAGATCCGCCTGCCTCTACCTCCGAATTCCAGAATCAAAGGCCTTCGTCAACCACCGCCCAGTGGGGCAAAAAAAATTTTTTTTAATTGTCACAGTAACATCGACACGTCTCACCAAGTAGGGGCGCTTTTGACCAAACCTGACCACCTCAGTTCGATCCCTCGGGAGAGCCCAATGCAGCAAACTGTCCTCTGGCTTCCACACATTGGCTCTGACAGCACCCGTCCCCCTTCACAATAAGTAAATAATTTCAAAAAGAGGATCAAAAATCTTGGGAAAGAAAAAAAAAAGTAAAGATAGTTCATTTGTTCTAAAATTATAATGAAAACACTGCCTCTGGCTGGAACCACTGGTGACAGCTGACAGAAGACGCAATCAAATGGAGGGGAGATTGCCATTTGAAAACCTGGGGTTTAGGGAGAGCCAAGAGAGAAGCACGGAGTCGTGCATTCGGGACCCTGCCGCCCACAATTCTGGAAAACTTAAGGGAAACAGGTCCCCTTATTCGGGGAGCAAGGACGGGCTGGGAACCCGCTTGACTCAGCACCTGAGCCCGGAGTCACCACATTGGATTAGCAGTGCGGGACAGAGCGGGTCGGAGCCTAGAGGAGCTGGGGCTGGGTGGGCAGAGAGGAGAGCCAGGCAGAGCCGAGCCGGGCAGAGCCGAGCTGGGCACAGCCGAGCCGGGCGGGGCAGAGCAGAGCCGAACAGAGCCGGGCAGAGCCGAGCGGGGCAGAGCCGAGCCGGGCAGAGCCGAGCCGAGCCGAGCCGAGCGGGGCAGAGCAGAGCCGAACAGAGCCGGGCAGAGCCGAGCAGGGCCAGGCAGAGCCGAGCGGGGCAGAGCCGAGCAGGGCCGGGCAGAGCCGAGAGGAGCCGAGCGGAGCCGAGCGGAGCCGGACAGGGCCGAGCCGCGCCGAACCAGGCCGAACCAGGCGGGCCACTCGCGCAGACTCCAAAGCTGAAGCGGAGGCCGGGTCCCGTCGCCCCCGGCTGCGTCGGGTGACAACTGCCCTTCCCCGTCCCTCCCCGTCCTCGGCCCGCGGGCCTCACCTACCATATCCCGGCGTCCTCCCAGGCTCCCGCCTCCCGCGCCGAGCCCCGGGTGCGAACATGAATGAGGAGTGATGGGCCTTAGCGGTCCCCTCGCCCTCCGCCCTGTGGCTCCCACGCCTGACGCCGGCGTCTCTAATTGGACGGCCGGCGCGGACACGCCCCTTCGCCTGAATGACAGCTGAGCGCCGAGATGCTCCCGGAGCCGCCCTGCCAGGGCTGCCGCCTAGTAGGCGTTTTAACGAGGATTGACTCTGGGACCACGGCCTGTTCTTTGGTGTTCGTCGCAGCTCCAGCCGAATGAAGGGACGTAAGCGGGCGCAGGAAACTCCACATTTGCTTTCTAGATAAAGCGAGAGCCACTTTGTCCAAAGCAAGGGGCCAGGCCAAAGCAGAAACAGAATAAACAGGGTCGGCCAGGTGACTCAGCAGGGAAGACACTTACCCGGAGCCTGACAATCTGGCCACATGACCGGAGACTCCCGAGAGGTGTCCTTCACACACACACACACACACTTCGCGTGCTTTTTATTTGTTTTAATCCTGAAATGAGGAGATTCTACTGATGGCCTCTCAAGCTTATCCCGAGCCCCGAATTTACAAAGAGATGCTTCAAAGTGAACGCACCATATTTAAATTTGAACATTTAAAAGTGCCCTCAACAAGCCTTAAGAAACGACTCCGTGGTTAAAAGCGCTGGCTGCTTTTTCAGAGGACCCGGGTTCAGTTCCCAGCACTCACTCACGTGCCTGCTCCTAACTCCAACTTCATGGCATCCAGTGCCCTCTTCTGGCCTCCGTGGGCACTGCAAGCACATGGTGCACCAACATACGACCATACAAGCAAAGCACTTGTACACATGAAAATAAAGATTATTCTATGTGGTGATACATACCTTTTAATCCCAGCACTCAGGAGCCAGAGGATTTCTGTAAATTCAAAGCCAGTCTAATCTGTGTAGAGGGTTATAGGCCAGAAAAGTCCACAGCATGAAACCCTGTCTCAAAACTTAAATTTGAAAAATTGAACTGGAGAGGTGGCTCAGTTAAGTCCTGCTCTTGCAGAGGACCTGTCTTTGGCTTCTAGCACCGACGTGGTGACTCACTACAGTCTATTACTCCAGTTCCAGGGGATTATTGCACACTGAGTTGTGGGGATCCGTGAACCTAAGTCCCTGTTCAGGGCACCATCTGTGGGAGGCCAGCTTCCATCTTTTAAAGGATTCCTATGAGGAGAGAGGAATAAGAATTTTTTAGATAGAAAAATAGTGGAGAGGAGACAGACAGAAACACAGGATAGCTTTGGGAGGACCTGGATCAAAATCCACCAGCCCCCCTGGCTCTTCAAAAGGGCTTTTTATAACAATGCCAAGGGGCAGGGCAAAAGACCTCCCCCATGCGTGGTCAAAGCACACCACGCAGCCAAGTGTAGACCCTTCCAAACACCTGGTAACCACGCTGCTGGTCCAGTCATCCCCTTATGCAGCCCTGCTGGGTAAAGCAAGCTCAGATCTCACTAGGAAACCTCTGTGGGTCTCCACACTAAATAACTAAATCCTTATCTTAAATGTTGGTGGACTCAGGATATGGTTCAGTGATAGACCACATCTCTAGCATGAAGAGCTGCGTTTGCCTCCTTAGCACATCAAATCAATTTTTTTAAATGACCTCAAAATAAACAAATTTAATTTAAAACTGACCACAACACATATAAATATGGTCACTTGAAAGTAACCTCACAGGCTGGGCCTGGTCTACAAAGTGAGTTCCCGGCCAGCTGGGGCTGTCTAGGGTGCAACTGTGCGTGAGAGGGCAGAGAGAAAAGGCAGGAGAGCCTTGTGGGGTACAAGGGAGTTGGCTGAGGCAGGAAGAGGCCTGTAAGTCAGGACAGCCTGGGAATCAGACTGGGCGTTGGCTTTGTGTCTTTGATGGTTGCTGGCCTGTTGGAGTTTATAGGGAACTAGATGCCCCCCACTGCCAGACTCATCTCACAAGATTTCTGAGGAATGCTGATTTTAGGCCGTTGGTTATCTGCTAGCAATCCTTCTGTTTAATTGGTCAGAGTTCAGCCTGAGCTGAGCCCAGACTGTTAGTTAGGTCTCTGACATTTTGGGGTCCATTTTGGACCTAACAGAGACCCTGTCCAAACAGAAAAGAAAAAGTCTCCTGTTGTACTGACTGAGCTAGCCAGGTACATTTATTAGCTATTAAGTAAATTAAGATAAAGACTAGGTCTTGGGGGCTGGAGAGATGGCTCAGCAGTTAAGAACACTGGCTGTTCTTCCAGAGGTCCTGAGTTCAATGCCCAGCAATCACACTGTGGCTCTCAATCATCTATAATGGGATCTGATGCCCTTTCCTAGCATACAGGCATACAGGCAAACAGAGAATAAATAAATAAATAAATAAATAAATAAATAAATAAATAAATAAATAAATAAATAAATAAAATTTAAATAAATTAAATAAATGGCCATTAAAAAAAGACTAGGTCTGAAGAATCCTGAGACACCAGTTAGCAGTGTTCAGATCAGTCTTAACCTTGCTTGATTTGCAAATATAAGCAAAACTTAACTTGTACTACTTATTTCTTGAAGACTTTACAAATTTTACAGATTAGCTGTATTCATGCATATGTGTGTGCCTGTGTGACTTTCCATATGTCTGTGTAATTTGGTGTGCACCACATACACACAGTTCTCTCAGAGGCCAGAGGCATCGGATCCCTTGGGAATGGAGTTACAGATTGTTGCAGCCATTTGAGGTGAATGTTGGGAACTGAACCCAGGTACTCTCCTAACCACTGAGACATCCCTCCAGTCCCTATTTTTATTTTTGAGATACAGCCTCAGTATGAAGCCCTAACTAGCCTGAAACTCATTGTATGGATCAGCCTGGCCTCAAACTCAGAGATCTCCCTGCCTCTGCCTCCAGAGTGTTGAGATTAAAGGTGTGTAGCATCACACCTAGAGAATAGGCACTATATAAAAATAATAAATACTGTAGCATTGACTGGATATACATGCGACTCCATTGTATCCTTTAGTATCCCTGAATCCTTTACTTTAATCAGATGAACTACATGAACAACCTGAACTCCCACTCATGTCCAGGTTGTTCATGTAGATCTCAGCCATTTCTCCGTCATGCTTGGCTCAGTCTGGGAGGAGAGGACTGGACCTGCCTGAACTGAGTCTACCAGGTCAATCTCAGTCCTCGGGGGAGGCTTTGCCCTGGAGGAGGTAGGAATAGGGGGTGGGCTGGGGGGAAGGGGAGGGGGGCAGGAGGGGGGAGAACAAGGGAATCCGTGGCTGATATGTAGAACTGAATGGTATTGTAAAATAAAATAAAAGGAAAAAAAAGAAATATCAAAGCAAAGAAACAAACAAACAATAAAATAAAAGGTTTTAACTTTAACACAGTAAGACTATATACAATAAGAATAATTATCCAGTAAAGATTACATTCACAATGTACTGAATTCCAATTCATTTATGTCTGGTAAATTTAAAGAAAATGCTCCATAATCTATCCTCTCTTAGTAAATTCAAAATTTTATACCTAATTTACTTTCTATCATATCTAAGGAAAACTGCAACTATAACTATCTAATCTTCAACTCCATCAAAGGCCCAGAAGGATATAGTATTATTTAAGTAAACAAAAAGTGCATTGCAAACGATTTTCAAAAACTCTAGAAATGACAGAGATATCAGACTGCTTGGCCAGTCACCCAGAGTCCCTCTGCAACGTTGGGGCATCCATCTTAAGCCTACAGGCCCATAGTATCTGGCAGACTTTTCAATGAAGAAGAAAATTTAAAAGACTATCCTGCCTATACTGGCAAAGTTTGTCAGTCACTTTCCTCTGTGTCCTGAAAAATGTCTGGCAGTTTCTTCTGTGAAGTGGGAACCCCGAAGGCCCATCCTGCCTTGTTTTGGCAAAGTTCAGTGGTCACTTTCCTGTGGTCTTGCATGTCCAGTTTATGCAACATACTGTCAATCAGTCCAGGTAAGAGCAGCTTCTTGCCCACATTAAAAGCAAACTCCATTAGGAGTTTCTTCAGTGCCCATCATCTCTGAAGTAAATGGTGCTGCCAGGAGCAGATGTGTCTCATTATCACAAAAAGCCCTAAGGTAACAAAACATTTTAAATGCCATATTCTGTGGTCTTTGAAAGGTTTGAAGACCATCTATCTATCTAAAATATCTCTATATGATCTGGAAAGCACACCTAACATATCTACAATTTTGATTGTTAAGTGACTAACCACTAACACATGTTTCCTGATTATCTTATATAGTTTATAATAATAGCTTTCAAAAACTAGAATTTTTAAACCTTACACTTTAAAATGAACTGCATAGGTATAATACCTTAAACAAGACTAGAAACATATATACAGTGTTAACAAAAATAGCTTTAAATTTGTATGAATATACTACATTCCCCTAAATGATAACAAACATCCATAACCCACCAAATAACCAAAACCCCACAACCCAACTCTTGGGAATGTGGATGTTATATTCTCCAAACTGCTTCTTGCTGTCTATGGACAAAGTACCTTTAGGGTCCCAGAGAGAAAATTTGAGAGAATGGCCAAGTCCTGGGAAGATCAGCTACAATCTTTGTTGATAGATACCACTTGTCAAGATTTAGGAGGTCTCTCTTGGTCAAACGTGATCTATATTAACCTGGAACGAATCCACAGCCTCTTGTTACCTGTGGAAACAAAAGCAAAATCTCTTCCCCAGAGCATTTGATTTCCATTTGACAAATATATATATTTTTTTTACTTCTTTTTTAAAGTTAAGGCATTCCTAAAGTATCTAGATTGGTTCAATTGTGCAGTCCAGTTCACAATCCCATGTCTCTCAGCAGCTATTGTTTGCATATCAACAGTTAAAAAATTCAAAATCAACACAATACCATACAGGATCCAGACTCTGTGTATTTTCCATCTCTATGTGGCTTATTCTTTTTTATTATTTTTACTGTCTCTTTAAAGACTTTATTATTTTTAAACTTTCCTTCTATGACTGTCTATACACATATTCTTTTATTTCTTAAGCCTATGCCATTGTTAAACACACTGGAACTTTTTTAGCATTTTTTTCTCCCATCTGAACCTGCTTTGCTGCATATCTTTTAACCTTTTTTGGCCACATGGGCAAGCTTCAGACTGCTAAGCTACTCCTGGACCCTCCGTCCTGCTTCCTTAGCTGGCCTTGCCCACATCTAGGTTTGTGAGAGCCAAGCCTAAAGCTTGCAGCCCAGTTGGAGGTTTGTTTGACTGCATTCAACCCCCCAGCTTTGGAATGCTGGTGCCCTGCACTTTGGCAGGTGTTTTTTACTTAGTTTGTTTTCTTTCTATTTATCATGAAAAAAGCTATTTAAGTGCTCTGCTGTACAACAGGGTTTCTTTTCTTTTTTCCGTTTTATTTTTTATTTTTTCTATTATTTATTTATTTATTTATTTATTTATTTATTTATTTATTTATTTTTATTTTACAATACCATTCAGTTCTACATATCAGCCACAGGTTCCCCTATTCTCCCCCCTCTCACCCCCTCCCCTTACCCCCAGCCCACCCCCCATTCCCACCTCCTCCAGGGCAAATCTTCCCCTGAGGACTGCGATCAACC